CTGCGCTGAGTCTACCACCCGTCTCGTCTCCCACCCCTCTCCCGTGGGTAACACTGTGAGCCTCCAGCCGCTCCCCTTTAAAAGGGAAGCGGGAAATCCACCCAACCCCGTATCTCCCCTCCCTCCCTCTCTCCCTCCCCCCTCCCCGTCTGGAATTTCCAAGCCGGGACTAACTCGTCTGATTTCTCCAGTCTCCCCCGCTGCTTTTTTCCTCCCCTTTTCTTTCCCTAACACTCCCATCCCAAATTCTAAGCTGCACTTTCTGGAAGACATTAGCCACATTTCAAGAATCTTTTAAGAGAATGGGGAATGAACAAGACTTAATTTAAATTCTAACAGCTGGGAAAATGTCCGTTCTTCAAATGCCTTTGGTTTATACATTTATTCTAACAACCCCATCACCACCACTACCACCCCACACACAAAAATCAACAGATCTAACCACTAAATAACTCTTCACAAAACCTTTAAACTTCAACAAATAGCACTTGCTGTTCCCCACTTCTCACTCAACTAAACCAGACCTGAATTTTAAAATGTTTTAAAATTGTATACTCACTAGACTATCTCAATAGTATCTTTGTCAACTGGCTGCTACACATTAAAGTATAGTATAAATACACTCTTAAAAAGTAAGCCTTAAAAGTACCCACACACATAGATTAAAATGATACATATTAAGGTAATTTTAAAAGATTAGAAGCTCAGAACCTTTGAATCAAGGTTCCTCCAATTGCTAATGTCATGTATTTCATCTCTGAAACATAATTATAAGAATGTTTTTTTTCCACCAAAAGCTGTGCCATTAAAACTTTTAAAAACTTTACCTTTTCAACAATTAACAATACTTTGAATAAATTAGTGATGGGAATTGCAGTTCTTCCCCTTTTTTACTAAAAAGTTCTCCATCTGAGAAGCCATTACGGTAAAATTTCATCTTTTTAATTTGGGTCAGAAAAATAAGGGGTTCTAGAAACCTACAATTCTTCTAAGGGACTTAGTTGCCACTGCCTTCTAAGGGACTTAGTTGCCACTGCCCTTAGGAAACTCTCATCTTGAAATACTGACCACCCAAATGAGAACAGTTAAGGACTTCTACCAGCAGTGAAGGAAACTTGTTTATGAATTTGCAAAGTTTAATTTTTAGGTGGAAATTAAAATAGGGAAAGAATGTACCCCAGTTTCCACCTTTCCTCCAAACAGTGCACAAAAACTTAACATTCAACCATTTTTTTTTTTTCATATAAAAAAAAAAAAAAAAAAAAAAAAAAAAAAATTCTAACCTAATATTAATAAGGAAACCTTTTTAAATGAGTAATCAATTGTTTCTACTTCAAACTTTCTTGTTGAATAGCAGTCACATGTATCTTTTACCTCGTATGAGTTAAAAACTTTTTCATTTGGGTACTAATCCATAATTACAACCATTAAAGTAAAAGTGCCTGAAAACCCTGCTGCTCTAATCGTTTTCATTCCCTTGTTTTTTAACCCCTCTTCATTCATTTTCAGCCCCAAAGTACAAGGTGGGTTTGTTTTTTGTTTTTTTTTTTTTCTTAAGTGCAAATCCATTTCTGAAGGCAATTTTTAGGTTGTTATGAAAACGTTTAGTGATCCAGTGATTTCTTCAGAACCTCGAGAAACCATTGTTAAAATATATTTAAAATATTTTTTGCCATTTATAAGACATCCCTTCACAGATTTTTCAAGCTGTTAACTTCAGAAAATTAAACTGTAAAAACAGGAATCAAGTTTGGACACTTTCTTTTGAGAGTTCTCAATTTTATGAATGGTTTATAAAACTAATTTTGTTTAATAGGTGGAAATTTAAGGGAGCTAGCCCACCTCATTTTAAGTCAACACAGAGGAAAAGGAAAGAAGGACCATTAATCTGCCTAAAGAAATCACCAAACTTAGAATTCCTTACTGTGAACACATTTCACCTTTAAAAAAATGATTCAGTGCATCTCTTTCATTTTTTTCTTAACAGTAACACCTTTTATTTTGATGACACCAGTTGACAGTGAATATGCTATCTTTAGGTCACATTCCTCTAGAAAAAGGCACACCACAGTGGCAAGCGTAACAAAGGTTTAATTCCCTTAAAAAGCAAATCATGTCTCAAAGTAATCAAGTCACACTAAAATGGTACCCCCTTTACCTCAACTACTCCTCAGTCTCTCAGAACAAAACATATACAAGCCCTTTCCACAATTGTTTTTAAATGCATTTGGTTTTTCTCTTTTGTCTCAATATCTGGCAATGAACATAAACAAATTCTCAACAAAAAAGCACAAATTGTTAACCAAATTCCAACAGTAAAAGGGGGTTTGAGATGGTGATCTCTGAGAAATTTAATATCACCTCATTTAAAAAATTCAAGCTAATTGCTGTTTTCAGTTGAAATGCATAGTGTTCGGCCACTTGAGTTCTTAAAAAGGTACAAATTATATGTATCAAATAAATTCAAACTGAGAACAAAATACATTAAGAGGTATTGTGATAGCATATCTTTTGTTTGATTTCCCCCTCTTAAAAAAACAAAACCACCAGGAACATTTAGTTGTTGGGTTTTTATGAATTATCTTAGAAATTGAAATCATAGTTCATTTGGAACTGAATGCCTCAAGAAGAGTTCATAAGGAAAATACAAGAGTATATATATACACAAAATATTATTTGTGTAGTTCATTTTGCTTAGAATGTGTTAGCCATAATTAACTAGTTCCTATTCTATACATCCATGAGATTATGGAAAAAGTCAGTAACAAACCTAACTGACGAAATACTTTTCAGACACAGACTAAAGACACATACCACAACATACTTCCTCAAAGACACAAAATGATAGAGCAAACTGACTTAATGAAAACAAACTCTTTCTTTTTTAAATCTTGAGACTTCAAAAATTGATTCATTCTAGAAAAATGAAGTGCCTTCTCACCACCAACCAAAATAAAAAGCAAAGAAAACACAATTGACTCAATGTTTGGGCTAAAAAAATTATTTCAGGAAGGGGGAGAACACACAAAAGATCTAATTTAATATGGGTGTGGACAGAGATTTTTTTTTTTTACCCAGTCTTCTCACAAACCCCCTCTCCATTCCAACTCAAAAAAGAGCCCTCAGTAATGCATTTTGGAGGGAACAAGAAGGAGCCTAGAAATGGCTTAAAAGCAAGCAAATGGCTTGGGGAAAAAGATTCATAAATACAGGGCACCATGAAAATTAAAATATAAATGTTTTGAGTTCCATTTCATCACGTTTTGCTATTTCTCTTGCTTTTCACTTTATTCCCTAAAATTTAAACCATCCTCAAGAGCAAAAGAAAAAATTCACATATCTTAGAATTCCATTTATTCTGGATATTTTTCATCAACGCTCAGCTTTCAGTTCAAATATCCATATCCTTTTCAATAAACCTGCTGGTGTCAGTGTATGTTCCTTGGTCACATCTCCAGAAAATGTTTCAAAATAGCAAATAAGACTTCTTTTCTTCCTTCCCATTTTATTACCTCTTTACACCTAACTCTAATTGCCTTTCCAATAACACTATATTTCAAGCATTTGAAGTTAAATCGCAAGCTCTATAAACGTAACAAGCCATATTGATCTATAAACAAATAGTTCCAAGTTACTTAAATATCAAGATAAACCACTAAATAGATTTTTATCTTACATAATACTTTCTAGACCCTCTTAATCGTCCCCCAAAAAAAGCAGTCACTACCCCCCATCTACCCACCCTGAAAAGGCCAGAGACTATTCTGAATTGTACCAACTTTTCAGTTGAAATGGGGGGTGAGGAGGATCAAAGATTTACTGGGAGCTGCTTTCCAACTTGGGACATGAGAGCAAACTCTACACTGTCAACATGTTTAAAGTCTGATTTGAGAAAAGTGGAAAGACTCTGCCCTTACACTTCCCAGCCAGAGTTCAAGGAAAGATTTCAGAGTTCAATACAATATTTGAAATCCACCATGAATTCTCGGTAAGCATGATGGAGGTACCCCCATTTTGCTGAAGAGAGAGAATAGAGAGAGGGTACTGGAACACACACACACGCACAGACACACACACACACACACACACACACACACACACACACACACACACAGCAAATTCAGTAAATATAATCATTTTATTTACTGAAAAGAATAGAAAGATGCTGGTTTTACAGGCACACACACGGATTCATCCCAGATCACACACACACACACACACACACACACACACACACACACACACACACCATTCAATTCATCCACGGAGTTCTAGACCCTCCAAAGAGCCCCAGCTCACAGCCTCAACACAAAGCTCTCACCCCAGATGGTCCCCTTGTAACAATGGGCTGAAGGAGTGGGGGTAGGGGGGCTCGAAAAGGATAGTACAGCCAAGGCATATTCTTTGGAAAATCCAGTTGGGGAGAGGGATGATGTGAGATATGAGGGATTGGGGGTGGGGGGGTCCATGGAAAATAAAAAGTCTTTGCCTGTTGCAGAAATATAAATAAAATACAAGCATAAGGGGATTCTTTGGGGGACGGGAAACTGATTCCACATCACTTAGGAGTAGAAGGGCAATCCACTTAAGAATTATGGTGTGGAAAGAGTGGGAAAAACAGAAAATGAGGCCTGCTACGAAGTTGCAGAAATCGCCGAGTCTGAACTCTTCGAAGATTTTAAGATTCCCCACAAAAAAACGGCCCCACAAGTTGAACAAACTCCAAAAGGTTTCTCCCCTATTGATTTTCTTTCCCCTTTAATTCTACAAGCAACATCTTTTAGCCCACCCCAGCCCCAACTTATTTTTTTTTACAAGCTGTAAACCACCCATTACAAGATCTTGGCCAATCTTCCCTCCCTGCCCCCAACATCCGGAGTTGGGGGTGGGAAAGACCAGTAATGGGTTTCTTCCACTGGAGACGCTATGGACCCCTGAACACAGCTTCTCAGCACACCCCCGCGGCCCCCCCACCCCCCCAGAAAAGAGCTCTTTCCTACCTTTGTTTTTTGGGCACCGAATGTTCAATCTCTAGGCGTTTTCCTTGTAATTCTACTTTCCCTTAAAAAAAAAAAAAAAAATTACCATGAGAGCGTGAACAGGGGTTGGGGGTGGGAAAAGGAAGGGGAAAGACACTAGGCTAATTCAGGAGTTACTGGGATTCGAGATCTTCCTAGGAATCCAGGCAGTGGCTTCCGCAGCCAGATGGGAAAAAGGTTGCTCTAGGAATGGTGGAGTCCATAAATTCGTTATTATTCATTTTTTAATTTTTGCTTTATTTAATCACTGAGGCTCGTTGAGTGGATCGCTCTGGAATCCCGATTTGGGAAAGGTGCGAGGCCATTTGTGTGGGTGCGCTGCCTACATTGCTCCCAGATGTGGGGAGAAGGAGCTAGGAGAGAAAGGGCTCCCCGTTCCTCAGAAAGTGGGGCGCGGGGCGGGAGGCGGTGTGCAGAACGAAACTTTATTTTTCTCTGTTGGCCAGGAAGAAGGGCTTCGAGCCGCGGAGCGGTCACCTGTCGGGACTGGTTTGGGAAGGGGTGGACCTGGGGGAGCGGAGCGGGGCCCGGCGGGGAGGGTGCCTCGCTGCCGCCGCGCGCGCCTCTCGGCCCAGCCTCGGCGTCTCGGGAAGCAGCATGGCGACCCGGCGCCGCCGCCGCCGCGCCACTCCGCTCACGCCCCACTTTCAAATCAAAATGGCTCAAGCCCCAGGCCCTAGGCAGGAGGCAGGACCCCCTTCCTTGCAAGTCCTGCTAGAGGGCTGCATTCCCCACGCGAAACGGAGAGATCGCAAGCGGTCCGGGGGACCCCTTCCACGCCTGGAAAGGCCTAAGACTGAGGAAGGGAAGCCAGGGTTTTCCAGCTGGCGGGCCGTCCACCGGCGGACAGGGAGGGTCTGGACGTGGAAATAACGCCCAGCCGGGGGTCATCTCCGTGTCCCTAAATCCACCCCCCCACTACTGCCAGTGGGGGCTCCCGCCCCGTCGGTGGGGAGGAGGGATGGGGGAAGCCAGAGCTGCTTATCTCAGGCTGGGAGGAAGGGATGAGGAAATCCCGAATGTTTCTGCGCGGGGGTGGGGGGCGCAGAGCGAGGGAGGGGGCATCGAAGCGGGTAGGTCGAGGGTGGGTACAGAAGCCAAGCCCCGCAGGCCCGGGAAGAGAGGAGTTGGCGGGAGAGGAACCGGAAGGTGCGGGTCTCCGTTGTTCGGGGCTTTCGTTGTGGCTTTTCCGGGAGGTGGCTGTGCTCTTACCGGAGAAAGTTTCGATGGCCTTCATCGCCCAGTGCTCGTCTGGGCAGTCCACGAAGGCGTAGCCGGATTTGACCAAGAACTGGCCGCTGTAGGAGATCTTGTGCTCCGCAAACACTTTCTCCAAGTCCGCAGGGGTCACGCTCTCGTTGAGGTTGCCGATGTAAAGCTTGTTCATGGTGGCGGTCTCGGGGCAGGACGCGGTCCCGGGCAAGGCCAAACGAGCGGACGCGGGCGGCAAGCCTCTTAGGCCGAGAGGCGGGGAGGCCGGCGGCAGGAGCCGCAAACTTTCTTTGCACCCCACCCCAGAAGTTGTCCCCAGCCCAGGGCGGGGAAGGCGGCCTGAGGGCGCGCAGAGGTCGCGGGAGAGTTCGGGGAGAGCCCGGGAGAAGTGCCCGCGGCGCGCAGGGAGACGGACGACGCGGCGCAGCTCCTTCCCTTCGGTCCGAAACCCCTCCGAGAGGGCTGGTGTGTCACGTTTCTCCGCGGCCGCCCTGGCGCCGCCTCTAAATAAAATCGACTTGAAAAAAAATGGAGCGGAAAAAAAAAAAAAAAGGAGAAGCCACGTGGTGACAGCCCCCACCCACCCTGCAGGGGAAGACCCCCGACGCCACAGGGCCCCTCGGCCCTCCGGCCAAACCCAACAATCTCCCGCCTGAGGGTGGGGAACTCAACTCACCCCCGTGGTAAACTGGGGCGGTGGGGCAGCGTCCCTGAAGCTCTATGGCCCCTTCCCCCTTGCAAGAACCTGGCCCCTAGGGAGCGCCCCGCCCCCACCCATCCCCCTACCCCAGCCCGAACTGGGGGAGGATGGTCCAGCCCAGATCTCCCAGGTCTTAAAGGGTAAAATGTACGGTTATTTTTTATTCGTTTTGGGGGGCAGGGTTGCTCACCCCACCCCGCTTAACTGCTAGCGACTGACAGGCGGGGGACGGCCGAGATAGACAAAGAGAAGCCGAAGACTCTGGGGTCTTCAGGAGAGGGTCGCCCGAGCTGGTGATTTAAAAAGAAAGCCACCTTTTCCCTAGATGTTTAAATGGGGGGGTCTCTGCCTTCACCACCCCAGCCCCACTAAACTCCCCCGCCTCCGGGGATGCACGACCGGGGGACCCTGCGAGCGCGGGACTGGGAAGCTGGGAACACGGGGGATCCCAGTGGATAACGAGGAAGCCGCAGGAAATCATGTTTTGAGATCCCCACGGGAGAAAGGGTGGTTCGCACCCGGGGTCCGGCTGTTAAATGATAACATTACGGGGTCCTGGGGGAAACTCGCGGAACTGGCCGGAGATGACCCCAGGAGAGAGGGACAGTGGGAGAGAAGGAAGAGGGGTGATAGCTAGGGCTAACCCGAGCGAACCGAAGGGGGAGGTCTTAGGGAGGGAGTGACCGGGTGGAGATTTGAATGGTCCCGTTTTCCCTCCGAGTCGGGGACAGACAGGTGGAGTTTCCAGCGCCCGCACCACCTAGGACACTGCTGGCAGCTCTCTAGGCCCTAGGTTCGGGTCTCGGAACTTTGTTTGGGGTGCAGGATTCCGATCCCGGCGGGAAGGCGGGAGAGGGACGGAGGGCGGGGGGCTAAGCGCGAAGCCCCGCCCACGTCCCCAGGTCAGACCCGCGGGGGGAGGGGGTAATTTCCGCTCCGCGCACTGGGAAGCGAGGGGCGGGAGCTTAGGGGAGGGGGCGGCGGCCCCTCCCCTCCCCCTCCCGCCGTTCCTGGGGAGGGGGAAGCGGATCCGCCCGGGTCCCTTCCCTCGGCTTTGACCAACTCATTCCGGATCCTCCAGCTCCGGGAGCCCGAGGGAAGGACCCGACTGGGCAAGGGGCGACACGTGGGCGGTCGCACCCCCGTCTGGGCGGTGGGGGAGGGGGCTGCTCGCCGCGCGTTTCGGAGTCCCGGATACGCGGCGGAGAGCGGGACGCGCGGTCCACTCGCAAGCCCTGGCTCCACGGCGGAGCGGCGAGCGAAACCAACGAGTTTCTAGCGGCGGGGGCTGGGATGGCGCCAGGGGTGGCGGAGAGCGCAGCCCGGAGACCCTGGAACCCCCTCGCCCAGGGAACGGGGAAAAAGGAGGGGTCGACCCCCAGAAATTGTGGAGTCCCCTTAACAAGGCGGAAACTGGGGTGTTACTCCGGACTCTGCAGGAGAGAGAATAATTCTGTCGGGGGCACGCGTGCTGGAAGGGCAGGTGAGGAAGGGGGTCACTCCCCTTCCCCAGTCCCCGACCCCATTGTCTCAGTCGCCGGCGGCCCGGGCAGACTCCGCAACACGTGTTGACTACACCGATATGAATGCCTTGAATTTTTTTTATTGTTATTATTTTTCGTTTGCAGAGTCTGAGCTGACTCCGACTTCGGCTCACCGCTCTGCTGCCGGACGATTGTATGCCATTCAAAAAGTCGGGAGTTGAAAGACAGCACGCAGCACCTTTGTCCCCCTCCCCGTTTTCCCGGCGCACTGAAAAGAAATGGGGCTGGGACTTGGGGGCGGGGGAGGGCTTCCAACTCGGTTTCTCTATCTCCTCCACCACCTTAGAGCCCACCCTCCCCAATGAGCGTTTTGTTCTACCCAGCCACGTGTTTGTCGGATTTTTGTTTTTGTGGGGTTTTTTTTCCCATGGAACAACAAGAATTAAAGTACTAGAAGCTATTTGTTGTTGAGTGGAAAGAGAATATTTTCTGTCCAACAAGGTGGGAAGACATCTGTGTCCCACCCCCACACACACACCTCCGACCCTCCCCCCTTATCTGACTCTTAATACTTAGCTCTTGATCACAAGCATTATTTTTAAACAAACCAATGAGCTGGAAACAGTGCCTGCCACATAGTAGGCACTCAATAAACATTTTTTAAATGAAAAACAAGCTAATACAAACAGCACTGCAAAGAGAATTCGTGAAAATTAGAGTCCAGGGAGGGAAAAAATTATCTTGGCCAGAACATGTGGCTCTGTTGCCCGGGAACTTTTCTTGGTGATGTGTGTAGACTTTTGAAAGGGCTAAAAGATGGTCTTAAAAAGGCTGTTGTATTTCTTGGCCTTTTCCTAAAGAGGAGCCCCAGTCTTCTTAAATCTTTTCTGTTATATTGGGGAACAAGGAGGAGGGCAACTAGGCAGAGCATCCCAGTTCCCAGAAACTTTAAGTGCTGTTTCCTTCATTTTATTTGAGTCTTTAGGTGCTAATGAAAGCACTTCTCAGATTGTCTCCCTGGGGGACATATCCACTACTCTGCCTCTGTATGCCTAAAACAAAAGCAAGTTACACCCCACAAAAAATCTCCATCCAGACCTCTAAACTCCTATAAAATGCAGTCCACTTTTTACTATCCTAGAGTCAATGGGAAACAAAATTTTTTTAAATAACCATTGAATTCAGTTCACTTTTAGGTTGATTTTTTCCATTTAAAAATACACTAGCTAAATGTTAGCTGAAGTCAGTTTTAATGTATTTAAGATAACGTTAGAAGAGAACATATAAATTCACTTGAATAATCTATTTTAAAATCCTTTTAAATATTTAATTAAAAATTACCAATTATTGCTAAATTGAAACTGATAGTTCTTTTTTAAAAATCAGCTGTTTTACTGAATTCTAATCCTCTCCACCCCCCAAAAAAAGGCTTATGTGTGTATAGTCAGAAGCTGCAAAGGCTGCAGGAATACAAAAGAGGAGACAACAGGAGTGAGATACAGATCTTTTTAACCCCCAAATCAGTTTTGCCTTAGTGACCTGGGTATTTTAGGCTGGGGTTGGGGGAACTAAATCACGTTGATTGGTGTTTTATCTCTCCCTTGTGAAGGAGCCCAGCACTCACATTAAGGGTTATTTCTTGTCTAGACTGACATTCCTAGGTTAGGGATAAAAATGGGCAGACTCGAGGTACCATAACTTTTCATCTTTCTTTGTTTTTGTTAACATTAAAGACTACTATCAAACATTGTGTTTATTTTCAAATTTTTTTCTACCTTGCTTCTTTGGGACAGATAAATCTTTAGTGCAGAGTTACACTTAACTTGGGTAAGAGTTAAAAATATAGCTACAGGATTAAATGTTCTTTTTTTCTTTAATAATTATTATCCTTTATAATACATATCCTATATAATGTATATTCTACACAGTAATGTTAATACTGTTACACTTCTTCCTCTTGTTCTCCTCCTCTTCCTCCTCTTCTTTATTTTTCCTGGAGAACAGTTTGGTCTAGTTATGGAATTTAATTATCTGAATTCAGAAACACTGACATTTGACTCAATTTTAAAGATAGGATTCGAATCCATTTTCCTCCAATGTGAACATACAAATACATGCAGAGAGAAAAAAAAAAAAGTTTAAGAGAATAAAACAACTTTTTTAAAGATGAAAATAAAATAATATTCTTTTCTTGGAGAAATAAGCCAAGTTAAAAAAGGAAAAACAAAAAGGAAAGAAAAAAAAGTTTAAAAAAATGAAAAAAATAGAAAAATTGAAAATCAATAATTTCACTATTGTCATAGAAAATTAATTTTACTTGTAAATGTTTATTTTTCAGCATTTGTCCATTTATAATGATTTCAAATTTTTTCATTTTTATATCTTCATTGTTCACTTGCATTTGTACCATAAGTATTTCCCCAGACTGCCTCCAAGTTTTCATAGCTATCGTTTTAATTCAGTCCAGTTATAGATGTAAATTATTAATCATGATATTTAGATATACATCTCATCAAATTTTTTACTTTTGTAAACAATACTGAACAGATATTTTGGTGAATATAAATTTTTCCTTTTTTGGGTTAGCTCCTTTGCATAAATCCCCAGAATATATATTGCATTTTAAATCTAACACTTATTGACTCTTCTATTTTTAAAGTTTAGCATGTTTTACAAAATAAAGAACAAAACAAATGGAAAGCAGCTAGGAGGGAAATACATTAAAATACACTTTATTTTCTAATGAATCCATCGATTTTGGAATAAAATTATGGTTGCTACAAAATACAAAAAAAGAAAAGCTCACATTTCCTGATACATTGCTGCTTTAACCTCAAAGTTTTTAGAGGAATTTGTTTTTTGCTTGGTTGGTTTTTGTTTATTTACTTTTGTTGTTGCTTGCTTGTTTTTTTACTGTTACTACTTTGGGATGTTTTGTTTCTTCTTGCAACTTAAAGTCTTAGTGTGGTTCTTTTAAATGCCTATAAACTTTGAGAAAGTGTAAATTAGTTCCAGTTTAAAAGCACATGCAGCTTTTTCTCCTGTCAAATAAATAAGGATAAGTATGTGTTTAGGATATCTCATAAAATGTAAGCAAACTGTAAGCAGAAAAGGAAATTTTTCTCCTTCAAATTGTTGTTGAATCAAAAGTGTTCAGTGTTTAAGACCTGAGAAAGAAATGTATTTATTCCAGAGATAGAAAAGGCTCAAGGGGAAAAAAGAACTTTAAGTAAAATCGTTTGTTTTTCTGTGGGTCACACAGTGTGTTTGACAAAACCTCTCAATTTTTTGTTTTGGTTCAGGTTTACAATGTAGAAACTTTTAGGTAAGGAGGGGGATCATTTATTTTATTAACTTTAAAAATAGATGTTTTCAAATTCATTTTGTTAGTAAATTAAGCTACTCCACCCAACCCCTATTAATACATGTAGAAGAAATGGTCTGTAACATCCTTCGCATTACATTCTTATTACC